TCCTCCTCCTCTTCCTCCTCCTCCTCCTCCTCCTCCTCCTCCTCCTCCTCCTCCCTGCGGGGCCCAAGGCTGGCAGATTTTGGGGGGCGCCCGCTCCCCGTGTCCAGGGCCTGGAGGTCAGTTTTTCTGTCTCCCCAGGCGGCCAGGGCTCTGCGCCAGTCGCTTTCCTCTCCTGGCGTCGCCTCCTCCTCCTCCTCCTCCTCCTCCTCCTCCTCCTCCTCCTCCTCCTCCTTCCCCCCTCCAACTTATGGTGGTGGTGGCGGAAAACAAGCCCATCAATTGTGCCTGCGCACTCCAGGCCTGCCTGAGGGTCGATCCCTTTTCAGGGCGCGGGTCAGACTGCAGCGCGGTCCGCCCTCGTGCAGGAACTAGAGGAAGTAGAGTGGAGGAGGAGGAAGAAGAGGAGGAGGAGCAGGAGGAGGAGGGGGAGGAGGAGCAGGAGGAGGATGAGGAGGAGGAGGACCAGTGTAAATCCAAGATTCATCAACGATGTTGGAATGAATTCTTCCTCCAAGCTCCCTCTTCAAAGGCCCCATACACCGGTTCATTTATTGAGGGAACTGCCTCGTTTGACGACAACCGCTTGAAGACTCTCAAAACATTGTTCTCGGGATTCCAACGCCACGGATCAGCCTGACTGTTGCGTCTTGACGAGCCTGAATCGTGCCAGAACGCCATTCCTGGGACTTCAACACAACGAACCAACGTAATTGCTGCACCCGCATAATCTTGAATCTCTTCAGAACAATTTTCTGGTACGTTGATGATGGGAATACGTAAAGCTCTTGCACATCGTATGAACGAATGTGCGCGGCGCTAAGGCGAGAGCCACATTTTGAAAACAGGTTGCCCTCAATCCGTAAAACTTTCTGCGACTTTCATAGAAAAAGAATGTGCGCCGCGCTGCGGCGAGCGCCACATTTTGAAAAGGAGCCGCCCTCAATCCGTGGACCTTGCAAATGTTCAAAACGAATGTGCGCCGCGCTAGGACGAGAGACACATTTTGAAAACTGTTCGCCCTCAATCTGTGAATCTCCTGCAAAACTTTAAAACGAAGGTGCGCCGCGCAAAGGCGAGAGCCACATTTTGAATACGACCCGCCCTCCATTTGTGAAACTGCTGTCATTCTTCATCTTCAGAGTAATACGTGGTGGGGAAGTCTCAGGCGAAACGCTTTGCCCGCCCTAAAAACTGGCCTCGGGGTGCGACAGGGAGAAGTTGTTTATAAGGAAAAGGAATGGAGGACGGGGAGGGGGAGGGGGAGGGGGAGGGGGAGGGGGAGGAGGAGGAGGAGGAGGAGGAGGAAGAGGAGAAGGAGGATGGAGCAAAGAGGAACAGAGAGCAGGGAGGATCATGATGATGATGAGGAAGGAGGATGATGATGCTGATTATGATGCTGCTGATGATGATGCTGATGATCTGCTGATGCTGCTGATGATGATGCTGACGACGATACTGCTGGTGGTCGTGGTGATGATTTTGATGATGATGGTGATGATGATGCTGATGCTGATGATGATGATGAGGTTGATGACGATATTGATGAAGGTGATGATGATGATGATGCTGCTGCTGATGCTGCTGATAGTGATGCTGATGATGCTGCTGGTGATGATGCTGATGATGATGCTGATGCTGATGATGATGGTGAAGGTGATGCTGATGCTGATGATTATGATGATGCTGGTGCTGCTGTTGATGATTATGCGGATGTTGATGATTATGTTGATGCTGATGCTGATGCTGATGCTGCTGATGATGCTGTTGGTGATGATGTTGCTGCTGCTGATGCTGCTGATGCTGATGATTATGATGATGCTGGTGCTGCTGCTGATGATGATGACGATGATGATGCTAATGATGATGCTGATGCTGATGATGCTGATGATGATGATGATGATGCTCCTGATGATGCTGATAATGCTGCTGCTGCTGCTGATGATGATGATGATGATGACGACGAGGATGATGATCGGGAGGAGGAGGAGGAGGAGGAGGAGGAGGCGGACGAGGAGGAGGAGGAGGCGGAAGAGAGGAGGAGGAGCAGGAGGAGGAGGAGGACAAGGAGGAGGATGGACGAAGATGTTTTTCAAATACCGTCTCATGTTGCGAAAGAAGCCGCGAACAAAGCGTGCTGGAGTGCTAGATCGCAGCAATAATCTCACTGATGCTGCGGACCGGCTGGATGCTTTGGCTGATTATTTCGAGATGTGCCAACGGAACGTGCAATTTGCAGATGTGGTTCCAGCATCCTTGAACGCGTTGGGCCCCGACCTGCCCGTGGGCGCGTCCAGCTTCAGCCTGGTTGAGTTACAGCATGTGGCAAACATAACGAAGAGTGGCAAACCGGCGGGGCCAGGCGATCGACCCCCAGACTTTTGGAAAGTGGCGTCTCGAAATACGGATGCATGAAACGCTTTGCTGGGCGTGTGCCAGAGGTGTTGAGGGGCGCAGAAGGTTCCCGACAGGTGGCGGCGGGCCCATGTGACGTTGCTTTTCAAAAAAAGTAGACGCAACACTGCCCGGCAAGTGCCGCCCAATGTCTCGGCTGTCAGTAGGGCGCAAGGCTTGGGCGGCCATGCTGCACCAGCGCCTTGCCTTTTACAAGGAGGGGCGGAAGCGCGCGCGCGACAATCGCAATTCGAATTTCGACCTCACCGGGGAAGCGCCGACGCACCTGTGCTGATGGGGCGCATGGTTGATGCGGCATTCTTGAACGCAGATGGTGGGCTTATTCTTCTGCTTCTAGGCTTAAGCCATTTTGGCTCAAGGCTTTAGGCTCAAGGCTTAAGAGCCAAAGCTAGCAGCGCATCCGCTAGGAGCCAAGGGGCAGGTAGCGGCCATGGGAGTTGTTTCTCATGATGTGCAATTCGGTTCTCAGCATGTGTTTCGGAAGTCCCGGCATGTCATGGCTGCCGAAAGGTCCAAAATGATGATCATGAGGTTGCAATTGGACAAATTGGAATTGTCATCCAGGATCGTTGCGCTCGAGGCCGACTTGTGGTGGTGGCAAGACTGGTGGGATCATCAGGGTGTGCGAGCCACTGTGGACGGATCAGCACTTATCACGACGGAAGTTTCGGAGAAGGAAGCCATTCCGGCGGAGGCCACCGCGGAGCGGCAGACCACCGAGGATACGGTCATGCAGGAGGTTCCCGTGGAGCAGGCCGACAACAGACACAATGTTCACGAAGTGCATGTTGTGGAAGAGTTCAGCCAATCGCTGAAGTGCAACGCGGCTGAGCCTGACAGTACTTCTGCTTGGATCTATGCGGAGCCGAAGCTGCCAATGTTTGCGTTTTTCCTTTTCGCCCAAGGCCGGCGCGGTGAGATTTCGCGCCTGGGCGTTCAGGCAGCGGACGCTGTCAACTCGGAGTGGGACTCCCTACCCGCCATGGTGAAACACGAGTGGTGCGCCCAAGAATCTAAGCTCCAAGAGGCTTATGCTGCGCAGCTTCAAGAGTACAGGGGATTTGGCAGATACCGTGCATCTGCGTCGGAGCAGGATCTCGACGCCCCGAACTCTGCAGATATACAAGGCGAGGGCGCAGGTGTTGCGAACGACCGCCGCGAAGAGAAGCTGGAATTCAGTAGCGAGCAAGTAAAAGTGATGGTTGACACCACGATTTACAATATCATGCAGCACCCTGCTTGCGCAGATGTTCCCGATGGCTTCTTCGAAGATATCGCCCAGGACCTGAAGAGAACGATCAGTAGCCGTATCAGACACAGATACAGCGAATCAGAAGCAAAACGTTTGATGGATCTTGTAGTTTCGAAATGTGCCGATGCAATGAAGTGAGGCCTCCGGTTTCGCACTGCTTATAGTGACTCAGCCAGTTGCCCCCCCTGTATCCTTCCCCTCGTCTTCCTCCTTTTTCTTCCTCCTCTTGGACGCGCCGGCGATAGGCGTAGCGTCCAATTTTCAGCCCAGGCTGCAGGTCTGGAGTCGTCAGTCACAGAGCCACAGCTGCCGCCATCAGCTGCCCAATCAATCAATCAGTTCTTGATTGAGCAACGGAGTTCGGCCGTAGCCTGACTGCCCGTGCGCTGCTCTGGCTCGCTTTGGACTGCCGCCGCCAGTGGTCGTAATGATGAGAAGCATTTACTCCCACCGATGCTTCAGTAGTATTGACCACTGGAAAATCCTCAGAGCGACGCCAGGCAGCCGGCATCGCCCAAGGATGTCATTTTTATCGGCTTCTTTTCAATTGACATTGTGCAATATGTTTTGCTGCGACGCTTCTTCTGAGCTTGATCTTCGGCGGGGGCCCAGATGCGCGGCCACCCGGGACACTGTGCGCAGATGGCACCGCTTTTATTTAATCGCTTCGCTCATTCCGCCGGCCCTGGAGCGCTATTTGGGGCCTCTTGGGGCCGTCTTGGGGGCCTCTTGGGGGCTTCTTGGGAGCGTCTGGGGGCTTCTTGGCGGCGTCTTGGGCTCCCCTGGGGCCTCTTAGGGGGCTCTTGGGAGCCCCTTGGGGCGGGAGGGGGGGTAGTCGATTGCAGCCACCCCCTCGGAGGCCACGATCCTCGTGGGGGGTGGCGAAAAATACAGCCTCCCCCCTGTGGATCGGCCGGGACCCGGCCGGGGGTCAGCCGGGTTTTTTTTCGTCCGGGGGTCCCCAGGGGCCGCCCCGCGCGCGCGAACTAGAAATATTGTCAAGTAGTTACCGGAGATCTTAGCACGCCTTTGGCCCGTTGGGCCGGCGAGTTTCTGCGAGCTCACACAATTTACAGTGCATGCTGGAAGCCATTCTAACGGAAGGGCGAAAGTACGGCCTCGAGCTTACTTGAGACATGACAGTGCAAACTCAAATATCAACAATTTAGTTCGACAGGGATCTCGACGGGTCGGCGGTCAAGATCGTGACCGAATCTGTTTACCTAGGGGGATTGATCAGTCATGACGGGCGTATGGGAAGCGAATTTTCACGACGAGTTGGAGAAGCCACTTCTAGAAACGAAAACTTCACACTTATTACAGTTGCGTGCTAAGCAAGGTACTGTATTCGCTGGACTCGTTGTGGCTCCTGCAGAAGGACAATGCCAGTTTGGACGCCTTCCACTGCAAGAACTTGCGGGGAGTCCTGGAGATCGCGCCTTTCTCTTTGCCCCGGATTTCGAATGCCGACGTTGCCAGATCGAGCATGTTCCAAGCCTTTTGTCTGCAATTCCGAATGACCGACAAGTTGCCTTTCATAAGAGAATCACTTCGCACAGCGACGGCTCACTAGTCAAACGATGAGTGTGCGATTTCGACGGCGCGCCTTTAAAAAAAAAAAAAAAACAAAAAAAACAAAAAAAAAACCTGCCGCAGATGCCGGGGGCGCCCGAGACAGCAGTGGGCGACGTCAGTCTATAGCTCGGGGCACACATTTTTGTAATTGTATCCCTCTGTCTTGCGCGTGAACTCTTGCACGTCCACGGCTGCCAGATCTTGGACGTGATCCCCATAGACGATACGAACCAGGGCATGTTTTGAATTACCCTCTACTTGTGTGCGAATACACGTCCAAACCGAACTTTTGCATGTATGTTTGCCCACGCGTCCGTCCGGGATGCAAGGCTACAGACAGACAGACAGAGAGAGAGAGAGACAAACAGACAGACAGACAGACAGACAGACAGACAGACAGACAGACAGACAGACAGACAGACAGCCAGACAGCCAGACAGCCAACCCTCAGCCAGCTGGAGGAGGAGGTGGGTGAGGAGGAGGAGGAGGCAGAGGAGGAGGAGGAGGAGGAGGAGGAGGAGAAGGAGGAGGAGGAGGAGGAATAGGAGGAAAAGGAGGATAATAAGGAGGACGAGGAGGAGGAGGAGGAGGACGAGGAAGAGGAGGAGGGAGGGGTGTGGGCCTCGATTCCGATTTCGATCGTTCTTGGGCCGATCTGATTTCGCGAGTCGATTCTTGGCACAATCCCTCTGCTTCCCCTCTCCTCCTCCTCCCTCCTCCCCCCCCCTCCTCCCTCCTTCCTCCTTCCTCCTCCTGTTCCTCCTTCCTCCTCTCTCCTTCCCCCCTCCTCCTTCCTCTTTCTTCCTCCTCCCCCTTCCTCCCTCCTCCTCCTCCTCCTCCTCCTCCTCCTCGGCGAATCGTTCAGGCCTGCCAGTCCTCAGCACAAGCAGCCCTCACACGGGCGTCCGGGGTGCCCGCGTCCCTGCCGGCGCAGCCTCGTCCTGCGCGTCGGTGCGGAGGGGGCGTTTCTAGGTCGACGGGGATGCTTGGCCATACTCGCTCGCTCGCTTTGGATCGAGGGGGTGGGAGGCCAGAAAAGGAGGAGGAGGAAAGGAGGAGGAGGAGGAGGAGGAGGAGGAGGAGGAGGAGGAGGAGGAGGAGGAGGAGGAGGAGGGAGGAGGAAATGGAAGGAGGGATGATGGAGGGAGGGGGGGAGGGGGGAGGAAGAATGAGGCATGACGATGACGACGACGACGACGACGACGGCGGCGGCGACGACGACGACGATGACGACCGCGACGGCGACGACGACGACGAGGGTGATGATGAGGATGATGCTGATGCTGATGCTGATGCTGATGATTATGATGATGATGGTGATGGTGATGGTGATGCCGGTGGTGATGGTGATGATGGTGGCGGAGGAGGAGGAGGAGTAGGATAACGATGATGATGATGATGATGATGATGATGATGATGATGATGATGATGATGATGATGATGATGATGATGAGGATGATGATGATGATGCTGTTGTTGATGATGATGGTGATGATTCTGATGATGATGGTGATGCTTATGATGATGATGATGATGATGATGATGATGATGATGATGATGATGATGATGATGATGATGATGATGATGATGATGATGATGACGATGCTGATGCTGATGCTGATGCTGATGATAGTGATGATGCTGATGACGATTATGATTATGATGATGCTGACACTGATGATGATGATGATGATGATGATGATGATAATGATGATAATGATGATGATGATTATGATGATGATGATACTGCTGATGGTGATGCTGCTGATAATCGTGATGATGACGATGAAGACGAATCTGCATATTGTGATGATGATGCTGATGCTGCTGATGATGATGCTGATGCTGCTGATGCTGATGCTGATGCCGATGATGATTGTGATGCCGATGATAATGTTGATGCTGCTGCTGATGATGACGATTGTGGTGGTGCTGTTTTCGTTGATGATGCTGCTGCTGATGATACTGTTGTTGATGATGTTGATGATGATGCTGATGAAGATGATGATGACGATGATGATGATGATTATGATGATGATGACGATGATGATGATGCTGATGCTGATGCGGATGCTGATACTGATGATGCTGATGATGCTGCTGCTGATGATGCTGGTGCTGATGATGATGATGATGATGATGATGATGATGATGAGGATGATGATGATGAGGATGATGATGATAATGATGATGATGATGATGATGATGATGATGATGATGATGATGATGATGATGATGATGTCGATGATGATGATGATGAT